GGGTTGTGAAAGGTTTTGAAGTCTCTTTAGAAGGTTTTTTTTTTTTTTTTTTTTTTTTTTTTTTTTTTTTTTTTTTTTTTTTTTTTTTTTTTTTTTTTTTTTTTTTTTTTTTTTTTTTCAAAAGGTTTTTAAAAGGTTCTGAAAGGTTTTTAGTGTACCTATAAAAGGTGTTTAGAGTGTCTTTAAGGTGTTCTTAGAAGGTTTTAGAGGGTTGTTTTTAAAAGGTGTTAGAGTTCTTGGAGAGTGTTTTTTTAAAGCCTTTTTTGCAGAGGGTTTTGAAGGTACAGAGAGTTTTGAAGGTTTTTTTTCGGGTTTCTAGAGTGACTTCGATGGAGTTTTCGAGTTTTTTGAAAAGTTTTTAGAGGACTTTGGAGTGTTTTCAAGAAATTTGTAAAGGGTGTTGAGAGTGTTTTTTGAGGGTTGAAGGGTGTTTAGACGGGCTGCAAAGGGTTGAGCGGGGATTTAGTGGTTTTAAAGGGTTGTGAAAGTGTTTTTCGATTGTTTTCAAGGGTTTTTAGAAGGTTCTTAGAGGGTATTTCGAAGGTTTTTAAAGTTTTTAAAGGGTCTTTTGCAGGGTCTTTGAAGGGTGTTTTGAAAGGAGGGTTTCAAGGGTTGTTAGAGGGCTTAGAGGGTTTTCAGAGGGTCTTGAAATGTTTTTATAAGGTTTCTAAACGGGTTTTTGAAGTGTTTTTAGAGGGCTTTAGGGGCTGCAATGGCCTGCGGGGGGTGTCTGGGACTAAGCCCTAAACCCCCAAACCCCCAAACCCCTAAACCCCTAAGCCTAACCCCCAAAACCCCAAGCCCCTAAACCCTAAACCCCCAACCCTAACCCTAAACCCCTAAACCCCTAAACCCTAAACCCAGGTGGCCCTCTTCGTGCTCTACGACCTCCTCGTCATCCCCCTCGCGGTCTTCGACCTCCCGGAGACTGGGCTTTCCCAGGCATCTCGAAGGTTTAGGGTTTAGGGTGCAGGGTTCAGGGTTTAGGGCTTAGGGCTTCTAGCATATGGGGCTTCCATGGTGTGGGGCGGAGGGGATTCTAGCAAGTCGTTGCCATTCGTCAGTGTCAGAAACTCATAAAGATGATCGACCGTTCAGTCGTATCTTTCTGCCACACGACACACAGAAGCCCCCCCTAAAGCCTTATAAGCCCTAAACCCTAAGCCCGAAACCGGAAACCCAAACACCCGAAACCCCTGAATTTACGCGTTTGCTTACTCGTTTATCGGGCACTAGAGCTTCCTTATGCCCCCTGCGTTTCCCCAGACCCTTCAGACCCTAAACCTACACCCCTAAACCCCTACACCCCTAAACCCCTAAACCCTAAAACCCTAAACCCGAAATCCCTAAACCCATAAATCCTAAACCCCTCAAACCGAAATCCCTACATCCTGAATCTAAGCATAAAACCCTAAACCCTAAACCCCGAGTCGTAGGGGTGTTGGGCCCGCAGGCGCTGGACGCGGGCATCCAGGCGGGCGGCAGTTCAGGAGTGAGGGTTTACGGTTCAGGACTTAGTGTTTAGGGTTCAGGGTTTAGGGTTGAGGGTTGAGGATTTAGGGTTGAGGCTTGAGGGTTTAGGGGTTTAGGATGTGGGGTTTAGGGCTCAGGGTTCACGTAAGGATGAAGGCCCCTGTATCAATCACCAACCAACAAGGTTCTTGAAGAGCTCTGAGACGCCCTAGAGTGCCAGAATACAGCACCCTAAGCCCTAAACCCTAAACCCTTTTCCCCTGAACCCTACACCCTAAACCCAAAGCCGTAAGCCCTAAGCCCTAAACTCTACCCCCCAAACCCTAAACCCTAAACCCGAAGCCCTGAACCCTAAACCTTAAGCCTAAGCCCTAAAACTTCAATTCGGCATGTTTCTCTTAATCCTTAAGCCCTAACCCCTAAAACTTCAATTCGGCATGTTTCTTTTAAGCCTTAAGCCCTAAGCCTAAAAGTTCAATTCGGCATGTTTCTCTCAAGCTTCAAGCTCAAGACCTAAAACTTCCATTCGGCATGGTTCTGTTAAGCCTTAAGCCCTAAGCCCTAAAACTTCAATTCGGCATGTTTCTTTTAAGCCTTAAGCTCCAAGCCCTAAAACTTCAATTCGGCACGCCTTCAGCTCTAAGCCCCAAAACTTCAATCCGGCATGTTTCTTTTAAGCCTTAAGCCCTAAGCCCTAAAGCTTCAACTCGACATGTAGACCCCAAACCCGAAACCCTAAACCCTAAACCCTAAACCCTAAACCCTAAACCCTAAACCCTAAACCCTAAACCCTAAACCCTAAACCCTAAACCCTAAACCCTAAACCCTAAACCCTAAACCCCAAACCCTAAACCCTAAACCCTAAACTCCACATTATTTTGCTTTGTCTGGGAAGGCGTTCTGGAACCTGGACTTCGTCTTGGCATTCCTCACCGGCTTCTACCACAAGGCCCGCCAAGACTGCGGGGGGTGAGGAGTTTAGGGTTTAGGGTTTGGGGTTTAGGGTTTGGGGTTTAGGGTTTGGGGTTTAGGGTTTAGGGTTTGGGGTTTAGGGTTTGGGGTTTGGGGTTTAGGGTTTGGGGTTTAGGGTTTAGGGTTTCGAGTTGAGGGGGCTTGGGCTTGAGGGGGCTTGGGGTCTCGGGTTTAAGTTTAGGCTTGAGGGGGCTTAGGGTTTAGGGTTTAGGGTTGACCGTGCTTAGGGTTTAGGATTGAGGGGGTTTGGGGGGGGGGGGGGGGGGGGGGGGGGCTCTGGGGTTTGGAGTTGGGAGGTTGGGGGGGGGGGGGGGGGAGGGGAGGGGATTGGGGGTTTTGGAATCACCACCGCCGCTTTGGGAGGGCGCCCTGGTCATGGACTGCGTGAAGGTGGCCAGGCCATGTGCTTCAACCAAAATCCTAAACCCGAAGAGTCCTATATCCTAAGCAACCCTAAATCCTAAACCCTGAACCCTAAACCCTAAACCCTGAACCCTAAACCCATATGATGGTGGTGGCCAGGCAATATGCCCAGACCTGGATGCTCTTTGACCTAGGGCTTATCCTCATGGACTGGCCACCTGCCTTGGTCATGTCGGGGCAGGGTTTGGGGTTCAAGGGTTCAGGGTTTAGGGTTTAGGGCGCATGTTGGGTTCGGGGTTCAGGTTCTAGTGGTCCATAGCTGTAGACCTAAACCCTAAACCCTACATCCAAAGCCCTAAACCCTGAACCCTTAAAACCCCCGAACCCTTAAACGCTGCAGCAATCTCAAGCACCTTAAAAGACTCCACCTCGCCTTTCTTCGGGCTGGTTCTTCATACGGAAGGAGGGAATGAGGTACTGTACCCTTTATCCCCCTCTTTAAGGGACTATACCGGGTACCTCATTCCCCCGTTCCCTACTAAGAACCAAGGGGTCTTTGCGAAAGAAAGGTCCGTGACCATTATGGACCGCGTGGCCCTGAACAGAAACCCAGCGGCTTGTACTTCTTGGAGGATCGGGGCACGTCGTTGTCAAGTCGGGTTTAGGGTTTAGGGTTTAGGGGTTAGGGTTTAGGGTTTAGGACTCTTAGGGCTTAGGTTTTATGTTTTAGGTGGCAAGTCGGGCTAAGTAGGACTCGGGTCGCTCCCACTTACAAGTCCCCGGTCATCAACACAAAGCCGCCGCAGTGGCAAAGCCCAACCCTAAACACTGAATCCCCAACCCCAAGCCTAGCTTAACAGGCTTAAATCCCCGCCCCGAAAACTCTGAACCCCCAAGCCCTAAACCCTAAACCCTGAACCCTAAACCCTAAACCCTAAACCCTAAACCCTAAACCCTAAACCCCAAACCCTAAACCCTAAACCCCAAACCCGAAACCCTAAAACCTAAAACTACCGGCCGAAGAGCCCAGGCAGAGTGGTCCAAGACCATCCGCATGCTCCGGCTCTTGCGCCTGGTGCGCATTGTGCGAGCCATCAAGCTGCGGCGTGGCTTCGTGGCCGTGCAGGCGAGGTTAGGGTTTAGGGTTCAGGGTTAAGGGCTAAGGGTTCAGGGGTCGGGGTTAAGGGTTTAGGGTTCAGGGTTGAGGGTTGGAGCTTTTCGGGCTAGGGTTAGGGCACGAAAGCGAGCTCGTCGAAGCTCTAGCAGTCAATGGGGCCCGACAAATCGGTAGCTTACAGCCTCCCCCCGCTCCCCTCCCTAAACCCTAAACCCTAAACCCTAAACCCTAAACCCTAAACCCTAAACCCTAAACCCTAAACCCTAAACCCTAAACCCTAAACCCTAAACCCTAAACCCTAAACCCAAATACCCTAAACATTGCCGTATCAATACATGTACGTCCGCGACAGTGGAGCTCTCTTCCCCCTCCTTGTCGGCCCACCCCCCCTCTGGCCCCATTTTTAAGATGCTCTCAGGGGGGCAACTCTTCAAGCCTTCAAAGGTTCCGTGAATTTACATCCCGGAACCCAGGCCCCAACACTCTCTTTCGTCCGGGCCTCACAAGTCCATCAAGGTGGGGCCCTAAAGCCAATCCCTCAACCCGAAACCCTCAGCCCTAAACCCTCAACCCTCAACCCTCAACCCTCAACCCTAAACCCTCAACCCTAAACCATAAACTAAGCCTCAACCCTAAACCCCGAATCCTGGGAACCCTCAGCCCTAAGCCCCAAGCCCTGACCCGACGCCTTACGCAGGACCTCCTCCATTCTCAGGCTGCGAGCCTCTATCTCAGCTTCTACGTCAGCTTGGGACAGCTTCTGCACTTGAGGGTCTGAAAAGGTTTGAGTTTAAGCCTGAGCCCTAAACCCTAAACCCTAAACCCTAAACCCTAAACCCCAAACCCTAAACCACTGAACGTTTTGGTTTCGGGTTCTCGCGATCCTGTAGGCTGGCAAAAGAAGTGTATTTGAGCCACTTAGACAAGCCTGCTGAAAGTTGAAGATGAAGGGTTTAGGGTTTAGGGTTTAGGGTTTAGGGTTTAGGGTTTAGGGCTTACGGTTTAGGGTTTAGGGTTTAGGGTTTAGGGTTTAGGCCTATGCCCTGGAGGACAGCTCCTTGTTCTGAACCACTGGATGGCCTGCGCCTGGTTCGGCGTGAGCTGGCTGAATGCCGACAACTGGGTGGTGGCCAGTGGGCTCCAGGAGCAGGGTTTAGGGTTTAGGGTTTAGGGTTTAGGGTTTAGGGTTTAGGGTTTAGGGTCTAGGGTTTAGGGTTTAGGGTTTAGGGTTTAGGGCTAGGGTTGGGTTTTAAGGTTTAGGGTTTAGGGGATTCGAAGTACCCCAAAAAGGTTGCTTAACCTCAGAATTTTTCGATTGGCGGCTCAAATCCCTCCGCGACTCAAATGGTGCAACTGAACACTTCAGCATCCTACCCTAAACCCTAAACCCTAAACCCTAAACCCTAAACCCTAAACCCTAAACCCTAAACCCTAAACCCTAAACCCTAAACCCTAAACCCTAAACCCTAAGCCCTAAGCCCTAAGCCCTAAGCCCTAAACCCGAAACCCTAAACCCTAAACCCTAAACTTCTGGGCGAGCGCCCCTGCTGGCGAAAGCACCGCAACAATATAGACGCCAGGCTGAAGGCACCCTTGGGTTAAGCGCAAAAGCCATTGGCACTGGCCCAGGCTTGGGTTCTGCAGGGTATATAAGGGGCCCCCTTTTTAACGGCCCGAATATGAAGGGATGTAGCTACCGTAAGATAAAATCAGGTTCATCTCAGGATCCCAGGCAAGAGGGGGCCTTCACGACAAAAGGAGTAGCAGTGAGCCCTAAACACAAAGCCCTAAACCGGCTCCTTTGAATCTCCGCGAAGCCAGGTGATGCGCTTGTGTGCAAGGACGGCGTCCGCTACGCGACCTACGAGAGCTGCTTGACACTTACTGCCACTGTTCGCGCTTGCGTGTTTTTGAATATGTCATTTTGGTATGCCCCCCCCCCAGCTTTTTGTTTCAGGTGCCGCGAATGAAAGCGTGACTCTCAGCCACTGCGGTCAAAGCAGCCCATCTTTCGCGTGTGATGGTGCCAGGATGGTCGACTGGTGAAGAGCAGGAAGGCCTGGTTCTTAGATACTTGTGTGACTCGTGACGCAGCTGTGTCTTTTTGATCTTCATCTCGTCAGGTACATCAGGCTAAGCGAGTGCCACCATCTCACCCTTGCGGCGTGCTGTGCTCAAATTGCTGTTGTGTCCCATTTGTCGTCTGCTTCGTGTCTCTTTTGAGGTAACGGCGGCACGCCCACCTTCTGACCTTCCAGCATGGGTTTCGGTGTTGAGTGGCTTAGTGTGAGGACTCGTGACGCAGCTGTGTCTTTTTGATCTTCATCTCGTCAGGTACATCAGGCTAAGCGAGTGCCACCATCTCACCCTTGCGGCGTGCTGTGCTCAAATTGCTGTTGTGTCCCATTTGTCGTCTGCTTCGTGTCTCTTTTGAGGTAACGGCGGCACGCCCACCTTCTGACCTTCCAGCATGGGTTTCGGTGTTGAGTGGCTTAGTGTGAGGACTCGTGACGCAGCTGTGTCTTTTTGATCTTCATCTCGTCAGGTACATCAGGCTCAGCGAGTGCCACCATCTCACCCTTGCGGCGTGCTGTGCTCAAATTGCTGTTGTGTCCCATGTGTCGTCTGCTTCGTGTCTCTTTTGAGGTAACGGCGGCACGCCCACCTTCTGACCTTCCAGCATGGGTCTTGGTGTTGAGTGGCTTAGTGTGAGGACTCGTGACGCAGACTCGTGACGCACACTGTGTCTTTTTGATCTTCATCTCGTCAGGTACATCAGGCTCAGCGAGTGCGACCATCTCACCCTTGCGGCGTGCTGTGCTCAAATTGCTGTTGTGTCCCATGTGTCGTCTGCTTCGTGTTTCTTTTGAGGTAACGGCGGCACGCCCACCTTCTGACCTTCCAGCATGGGTTTCGGTGTTGAGTGGCTTAGTGTGAGGACTCGTGACGCAGCTGTGTCTTTTTGATCTTCATCTCGTCAGGTACATCAGGCTCAGCGAGTGCCACCATCTCACCCTTGCGGCGTGCTGTGCTCAAATTGCTGTTGTGTCCCATGCGTTGTCTGCTTCGTGTCTCTTTTGAGGTAACGGCGGCACGCCCACTTTCTGACCTTCCAGGATGGGTCTAGGTGTTGAGTGGCTTAGTGTGAGGCCTTGTCACGTACACAGCTTGTTGCGTCGGGGTGATGGCAGTGGTATCATTGCCAAGGAATGGTTCGGGAAGGCCGATTATTTGTTTGCCTTGGCTCCTCAGAACGTGAGCGTCCCTTCGCGTGTTTGACCGTTCTGAGCTGCAAGCGTTCTCAGTCGACGGCACGACCTGCCCGGACACGCGTGGATGTTCTGGTCTTAGTGTTGGTGTTTGAACATGAGTGGCGTGTGTTAGTTCCGAGGCCGGCTTCATGAAACGCAATAGACGTCAAGGCGGATCGTTCCTGTTCTTGGTTTCCAAGCGTAAGTAGTTTGGCTGGATTCCTGGATGGTGTTTTCTGCTTGAAGACCAGGCCTTGCGAAACGCAAGGCGCGTTTGTGTTTTTTGTGCCTCCTGCTGCGAGCACGAGCTGTCCTCGGAAAGGTTGAAGACGCCAACACGGGAGTTCGCGGCTTGGTTGGCTCCTCAGGGGCTCAGGGCTTGGATCCGCAAGGGAGGTGCTCTCGAGAAAGCTTGTCTTCGCTTGGCTCGCCGTTGCAGGTTGACGCAAGTGGCAAGCCAAACACCCAACGCGCCCTGATCTCAGTTTGGGTAGCTTTGTGAATGTGAACATGTCCCCGAGCATGAAACAGTTCCATAGGTCTACCGCGCACGCTTCACAGTGTCTCGCCGCGCGCGTCTCTCAGACTCCGTGTCATGTTAAAGCTTCGAGGAGGCTAAACCCGAAGCCCTACTCAGTTGGACATGTCCCTCTCACATCAGTTGGCGTATATGGCCACTTCCGAAAATTACGGTTCCTTTTGGGGTTAAAAAATAAGACGGCCTCTTATATTTAGGGGACCCGAAAAGGGACATGATTTTGCATTGCGAGCGCCCAGGGGGTCCGCTAATTGATGTTGCCCCACTTGCCCCACTTGCCCCACTTGCCTTTCCAGAAGAGCTAATTGATGTTGCCCCACTTGCCCCACTTGCCCCACTTGGTGGCCCGGAAAAGCTAATTGATGTTGCCCCACTTGCCCCACTTGCCCCACTTGCCCCACTTGCCCCACTTGCCCCACTTGCCCCACTTGCCCCACTTGCCCCAGTTACCCAGGCAGCAGGGATTACTCCTGAGGCAAGTGGGGCAAGTGGGGCAAGTGGGGCAAGTGGGGCAAGTGAGGCAAGTGAGGCAAGCGCCCCCCCCCCCCCTCGCCTCGCCGCGCCACAAGTCTGCCTCAAATCAGGCTGCGTTTGAAGTAGAACCTTGAGTGCTGTTGGACCCTAAAATGACCCTAAAATGACCAACCTAGCCACACGTCTGCCTCAAATCGGGCTGCGTTCAAGGCAGACCTGTGGCTGGGGCTGGTTGGGGGCAGACCCTAGCCAAGTAGAACCTCGAGTGCTATTGGACTCGGACAGACCCTAAAGTAACCAACCAGCCACAAGTCTGCCTCAAATCTCGCTGCAATTGAGGCAGACTTGTGGCTGGGACTCGTTGAGGGCATACCCTTGCCATGTAAAACCTCAAGTGCTATTGGACTCGGACACACCCTAAAATGATCTGGGGCCAGTAGGGCAAGTGGGGCACGTGAGGCAAGTGGGGCAAGCGCCCCCCCCCCCTCCCCCCACCCCTTGGCCTCGCCGCGCCACAAGTCTGCCTCAAACCTGGCTGCCACTTGCCCCGCTTGCCCCACTTGCCCCACTTGCCCCACTTGCCCCACTTGCCCCACTTGCCCCACTTGCCGCGCTTGCCCCGCTTGCCCCACGCCCCACTTGCAGGGTGGGCTGGGGTAGGAGGGGGGCGAGTGGGCAAGTGGGGCAAGTGGGGCAAGTGGGGCAAGTGGGGCAAGCGGGGCAAGCGGGGCAAGTGGCAGAGATCACTCAGCGGTTAAGGCAGGGCAAGTGGGGCAAGTGGGGCAAGTGGGGCAAAGTGGTTTTCGGTAAGGGAGCACAGCAAGTGGGGCAAGCGGGGCAAGTGGCAGAAATCACTTAGCGGTCCCCGTTTGCACGCGCACTGTGATTTTGAGAATCGAGCATCTAAAATATCTCTTTCCATCACGCGAAAGCTCGAGTAGTTGCGTTTCAATGTGTTAAAAAATGCTAAGCCCTAAGCCCCAAGCCCCAAGCTCTAAGCCCTAAACGCTAAACCCCAGACCGAAAACCTAAACCGACCTTTCAAATTTGATCATTGTGAAGCCGGAAGCGTCTGCACCCCTGCGGGTGCAGCGGTGCTCCCAAACACATTCGAGGGTGACGCTGCTTGCGGTTTGTTATCTTGGGACATGTTCTTTCAACAAAAAGAAAGCTAAGGGTGACACTGCTTGCGGTTCGTCATTTTTGCGATCTTCTGGAAAACGCTACGGGGGATGCTGCTTGCGATTTGCAATGATGGGGCATGGTCATTCAAAAAATCATTACATGGACTCTTCATCAAAAGCTGGACGCTGCTTGCGATTTGTGATTTTGTGATCTAATATGAAAAAATCTAGGGGATACTGCTTGCGACGTGTGATTTTGGGACCTGTTCCTTCAAAAGCTAAGCGGGACACTCAGCCAGGATAGTATGACAATGGTTCGGTTTAGGGTTCAGGGTTCAGGGTTCAGGGTTCAGGGTTCAGGGTTCAGGGTTCAGGGTTTAGGGTTTAGGGTTTAGGGTTTAGGGTTTAGGGTCTTTGTTGTCCGGAGCCCCTGGTGCTCAGTGACTCACAGCCAAGCCTTTCCGCATTTCAGGTTTGCGGGCTTCCAAGGCGCAAAGCGCTCCTCCACACTAATTCCCTCATATATGCACAGATCCTAAACCCCGAAGACTCTTTGCTGGAGGGCAATGAGAGAGAGAGGGAGGGAGAGAGGGAGGGAGAGAGTGAGAGAGGACGAGAGAAAGAAGAAGTGAGAAAGAAGAAGCAGAGAGAAAGAAGGGGAGAGAAAAAAGCAGAGAGAAAGAAGAGGAGAGAGGGACAGAGAGGGACTCAGGGTTTCATCCCTGTTTTGG